AACTTTGGGCCCTCCTGCATCCCTGCTTTAATTTGCTGAAAAAATGTACATACTACTCCCCCAAAATTCTATGCCTATGGCTATAAGAGCCCATTAAATTCAGATATTTTCTTAAATCCTAGATTAAAACTGATTGATATAGGTGTTCACATTTTCTTCAGGAATTTATTCTTTAAAATCCTGTCAATGTTTTACATTATCCACCATCAACTGATGCTTATGTCCATGTTGCAATATTCACTCACAAACGTGCAGGTGTGCATTCAGTTAAACATCACATTGTCACCATACAGTAGGCTATACAAGTTACGGATTAAAGACAGACTAAAAACACATAATGAAACTGAGCCACTTAACTGTGGATAATCACTTAAACTATAACTTGTTCATCAATATTGTGTTTGCATGATTATCAGAATGATCCTGGAATTAATACACTTTCTCCTTTACACTATAGTTTAAGTTCAGGTCTCTTTATTTGTCAAACAGCCACTTTTCTTGCAGCATGTTTCTGTATTAGTCATGACAGCATGCAGTCGATGGCACGCAGCCAAAATGACAGGACAGTTTAAGCAATTAATGCTCAAAGATATCAGCCAGTGAGTGAAATAATTTCAGATAAACTGCCAGTCCACCAAGCACAGCCTGATGATACCCTCTGGAATATCCCATCCTAACATATGCCTAATTGTTTACCACTGCTTGTTTACATAAATACAAAATGTTGCAGGGGAGGAGGGGAGAGGGGGGGAGAGGGTGGTGGGTGGGGGGGAGACGAGGAGAGTCAGTACACTATAAGACAGAGCCGGAGAATTAATAACAATTTGTGGCAGATAATTACTTATCAATTAAAGCTGTTATCCTGCCTAATTAGGCAACGTTCATTAAATTCAGCCAATTTAAACCTTAATCAAAGTTAGCAGGGCCTGACAGCAGAGCGAGGATCAGTGGAGGAGCGCCCCCCAGTGGAGGAGAGGGAAAGGAGGAGGCCCTCAGGGTGTGTATGTGTGCATGTGTGACAGTTTCTTTTCTTTTTTTTTTTTTGTGCATTATTTTGTATTGCTCTGAGAATGGGGAAATGACCAGCTTACTCAGTCTTTTTATATTTTCCATTATTATCATTGTAACTTGTATTATATTATTAGTATTAGTAGCAGTAGCAAAAGAAGCACTGAGGTCCTTCACTGATGAAAAAGTAGTAAAACAACAAAGTAAAAATAATCTGTTACAAGTAAAAGTACTCACATAGGAATTATTAGTCTATTGTTGTGTAAGCAGAAAGGATTACTCATCTAAATAAATGTATACGATTAAAATGTACAATACAAGTATTTTAATCAAATGGAAATACTAAGGTGCTAACCTGCAAGGAGGCAAAAACTGAGCTGCCTGGCGCACATAAACCCCCATTCTTTCTCTATTTGTGCGGTATTTCTATATTGGAACATTACATGGCTCAGGGTTTTCTGAGGGGCAATCTGACTTAACATAAACTTATTAATCAGGAAACTGTGCCTCTGTATCAGCTGAAATAATAAACTTCTGCAAATTAGATTTTGATCCAGACATGGCCTAAAGGTCAGGTGATAAAGTAGGACCCACATGAATCATATCAGCTGATATTTTGATTTGGTAATGCATACTGTGCACAACCCCCCCCCGGAAAAAACAAAATAAAAGACAGTTAATAAATTTACCTGCGATTCACTGATATGTAAACATCAAAGTCACTCAAAAAAACTAGTTCAAATGTTCTGTTTCACTTTGAAACCATCTCAGGAGCAGGCAAAGGGAAACAACAGTAAATAAACACCAGGTGTGTGTCAGCTGAGGTTGATGATGTCACAGGCCTAAATTTTTAGTATGATAAGCAACAAATATGAAGACACTAAACTCTGGATGTTGATGTGTTGATGCTAAAGTGTGTAACCGTTCTGTAGTTTGTTTGTTTTTTAGAGAGTTACTGTAAAATTACAAAACAAACAAAAAAGGCAAACAATAAACCAGGGGCTTTTAGGGGCCCCATGGGGTCTGGGGTCCTGTAGCAGTTGTCCCCTTTGTCTGGCTCCAGCCTCAAGAACAAATGCCTCAAAAATTAAACTGATGTAACGCATAAATGCAGTAAGTTACTTTCCACGGATGATGATGAAGATGATTCTTATCATTATTTTCATGCAATAGTGTAAGAGGTACTCAAGCAGTAATATCACAATGATAACAAAAATTGCTGTTGCATTCAAAATGATATTTAAGTAAAAGTACAACAGTAAAATGCAGGTCTATTATTATTATTAATATCTCAGTCCCCAGAGTGGTTTGTAAATTTAGCTGTCAAGTAAACAGAAATGTAGCTTCACAGAGTAGAAGTAGAAAAATGGGGATACTCAAATAAGGAGGGCCTATCTCAAATTTGTACTTAGAAGGAAGCAAGCAAATAAAAAGTTACTTTCTTCCAGTGGTTATTATTTATTAATTTTACAAAAGCCCTAGTAACAATCTGCCCTCGTGCACACAGTGGCTGGAGGTGTTCACCCTGTGGCCCTGTCAGCTCTGGTTTTTAAAGCCTTCACTTCCAAGAACTGTTGTGGCCAATTGACAACAAAGCACGCGCTTCTCGGGGCGCCTCGGCACGAGGAACGAGTTAATTAATATTGGCTCTTGTTTGGTCTAGTTAATGAATGAGTGAATTATGCACCTCTGGGACACCGCCTTCCCAATCGCTTTAAATTATCCCCCGCATCCCCTCTCCCGACATTGTCCTCCAATTTCCCCACTCTGATCCTGCACTGATGGGGTCCCTGTCACCAACCACACCACGACACACACACACACACACACACACACACACACACGGAGACTGAGGCTACCCCTGCCGTCTCCATCTGTCTGTCTTTGTCCTGCTCGGGTGTATTTTAGCTCTTTGTCTCCAGCCCATTTATTGACGCCCTTTTTTTTTTAAATGAACGACTCTGTTCGACCTCGCATCGTCAGCTCAGGGTGGCAAATAACTTCCATCCCATTAACTCGTTTGAGAGGGCAGGCTAGTCAAACAAAGCTTGGCTGCAATCTGATCCTCTCTCTGTCTCTCTCTCCCTCACACACACACACACTGGTCAGAGAGGGAGGTAAAAGGAGATCCATATTATTTGCATTAAAAGCCCCGCACCGTGAAATTCATTTATAATTACAAAGCGGGGTATACAGTGTGTGTTATGCAGATCAGGGACATGTGTGTGGCTGTGTGTATGTGTGTGGACACTGCATGCCTCGGATTGGTTATTTTGTGATATGCTAACACTGAATGTATGGTGACAGATTGCAATTATCCCGTTATTGTAATTGTCAAAGTCAATTCACTGCAGGCCGGGTGCAGGCTGCATGAGAAAGACTTGGGATTTACACACGACTCAGATTTGGCTGCTGCTTGACCCTTCTCTTGTTTTTCAATCCAGACACACTGCTGTCAGGCCATCACCTCAGGTTACACCATGACAGGATGAAGGCTGTTTATTACCTGGCCTATACATGTCGATTTCATCTGTTATGAAACACATGTTATTTCAGCATCTGGTGAAAGTATTTTTTTGTCATATTAATTCTGCAAAACAGTTGTAAAGAATACTTTTCCACCTGCAGGGAGTTTATTACATGGGTCAAATGTCCAAAGTGCCATAACCGACCTGCAGTGATGATTACAAGACTTACATTTCTCTGATATAATATTTCTTTTTCATTGACAAACAAAACATGGGCCTACCGAGTTTCCTCCATGTGTGTGATGAAGTGTTCATAGTGGATCCAAATTAAACGGCCCCTGAAATATCCCAGCTTTTTCACCCACAGTAAACCCCTCATCCTCATGGACCTCCAGCGCCCCCGTGTGGTAAAGGAAAGAAGCATCTCTGTGTACATCAAGAGCACTACTACTACTACTACTACTACTACTACTAATACTAATATAAAATTTTTGCCATCCTTTCACCATCAGTTCTCATTTATAAACAAAAAATAAAAGACTTTAAATAAGGGATACATTTTCACTCCAGGGTAGAAAAAGAGATCAGTGACATCAGCTTACCTCAGAGGCACATCAAGGTGTGCACTTGCTTATTATGCTGTGCAAAGTGTGTTGTAGACAGTACTTCAATCATGTCCTCATTATCATATTCGTAAAATAAATATTTTTGTTTTGACTCGATGTGTGTGTTGTCTACTTGTTTCTATGTTGTTTTGAGAACTACTAACTGTGGAACTAATTACCCCTTGGGGATAATAAAGATTCTTGAACTTTTACTAAAATATATGAAAAATAAGATTAACTGATACAAAAAGAGGAGGAGGCACTGTGGGATGGCTAGTTAGCTAATTCTTGTCTCATTTATGGTCTGAGAAAAGGGCAGAGACAGCAGAGCAAGGAGGGGCCAACACGGTCTCGTTCCAAACCTGTTGAATACTGGCGCTTAGGCAGTGACTCCTGCGTCAGACACCAACAAAAAAGCCGTCCTTCCACAACAGCATGATGCACGGCCGTGTGCCATCAGTGTGTAACAGAGCCCGAGGGCTTCAGGGAGAAACGTGGCAGGACAACAACGTAAGTAAAGGGGCCGGAAAGTGCAAAAGGGTGGATGGGCCCAACAATCACTGACTTTCACCCAGGAGGCTGGTGTTTGTTTCCCATATGAATGTAAAGCCAAACCCTGTTACTTTTCTAAACCCAAACACATGCTTTAGTTGCCTTAACGTAACCATGTGCGTTCCTTGTTAAAGGGAAAGACTGTCAATTTGCAGTTTTGTCCCGACCTAGTGCATTTATTTTGAAAGAGATGCAAACTGTCCGTTTCCTGTGAAAATGGAAGTGTATTTTGAAAAGACACAATGCACATAATAGGCTGAGGCTGACCCCAGCTTTAACACAAAATATAAAACTACTAATAAATTCTGATGTTTTATTATAGGTAGCTACCATAGATTGTATAAAGATGGCCGACGGGTTCACTTACCCCACCACACAAAAATGAAGCCAAAATATCCCAGACTGTGTGCTGATGACGTCATGTGGAGCCAAAGTCTGTGCAGTAGCGATTTCCAGAGTCTCCAAATCCTGCTTTAAATGGTTTATAAGGAGTATGGCACCTTAATAGAAGATGTGAAGAATAAAAAAGCTATAAGACTTTCATATTTTAAAGGATGTACATTTACTTTAAACTCGTTGATAATGAGCACACCAACTGGCACACTAAGCTGTCAATCATGCTCTCAATACACCTTTTTAACATCAAATTACTAGACAGAACCACATTTATTTGAAAAACAAACACCTGAACACACATCAGCGTGATAAGAACCACCTAAATATGACAGAGACCATCTTTGGGAAAAATGTTATTTGACATGTACTTTGAGTTTTTAGTTTGGCCCATGTCCCATCCACTAATGACCTATAATGCAGCCAGCCACTAGAGAGAGATCCATTTGTTTGGCTTGACTTTTGAGGAGCTGTCATGTTGTCCATCTTTATAATACAGTCTACACTCACTGACCACTTTATTAGGTACATCTGTTAAACTGGTCATTAACGCAAATAGTATTGTTGCTGACAGTGTCCATCCCTTTATGACCACAGTGTACCCATCTTCTGATGGCTATTAGCAGCAGGATAACACACCATGTCACAAAGCTCAAATCATCTCAAACTGGTTTCTTGAACATGACAATGAGTTCACTGTAATCCAGTGGCCTCCACAGTCACCAGATCTCAGTCCAATAGAGCACCTTTGGGATGTGGTGGAACGGGAGATTCACATCATGGATGTGCAGCTGACAAATCTGCAGCAACTGTGTAATGCTATCATGTCAATATGGACCAAAATATCTGAGGAATGTTTCCAACACATTGTTGAATCTATGCCACCAAGAATTAAGGCACTAGCACTAGGTACTAGCAAGGTGTAGCCTACCTAATAAAGTGGCCTGTGAGTGTATATTAGCTACCTATCAGTAAGTAACTAGCTCCACCTTTTCCAGCTTCAACATTAAAGTAGTAACCATACTGTTCAAGACCAACACACAATTAAACTCTGTGGGGTTTTTTTTTTTAGCAAAACATAAGCACACTTTCAGCAGTGGTTGTGGAGTCAAATTGGTAGGCCTACTTTAAACTAAAATAGTGTTTAATTAATCTTAACTATGTGAGCTTTAGGCCTAAACATCACCACACGTTAAGCTCAACGTCGTGTAAAACATATCCGCTACATAGCCTATGAAAGCTGCTAAAAGTTATTGCCTGGCTTTGTGCAATGTTAACTTTTACTCTGGCGCTGAGCAGTTGCCAGGCAACCAGTGGAAACTCCCGGAAGTTGCTGCTCCAAGATTAAAATTCCCATTAAAAAAGATTTTTTCTATTTTTCTACAACAGTTTTTAGACGGATTTCACAAACGACAAGTAACGACGAGTTTTATATGTTTAATTAGTGAGGTTTTGGTCGGGTTTTGTTACTGTCAGATGGGGCAGCTGTGACGTAAACTCCCTACGGCACACCTGTTTGTATTTCTACTTAATGAAGTCCTTCATACCTTTGTCAGAGACACACCGTTTGAGTTGTCAGTTATGATGGCTGAATCTCGGAGAGTTCAGTTGACCACGTTGCCCTGTAACGTACCTCCATCCTCTGTCAGGCCGGCCTCCGCCCAAAAGTCTCCGTCAGATGTTGAACAGGGGAAAGAAAACGGGTCAGACCGGCCCGCTGACACCAACACGGTCCGGCTGGTGCTCACATTGTTTGAGCCGGATGAGAGGAGCTTTCCGGAGTTCAGCTACAGCCAGCTGGTTGAAAACAAGGTGAGATTTTCCCTGATTTATACTGGAAAAAAAACCAACTTAAAATACTATCTCCCCATTTTTTTTAGAAAGTAATTTTTAAATATAATTTAGCAAACACCTGCTGCTTACAGCTTTAAAAATGCAAAGACACACTTGGTTTTCTCCTTATACACATGTCACATCAATAATCTGACTGGGTTTACCTTTTTTTATTTAACCAGACCTTTTTTATTTTCCTTTTTTCAAACTTTTAAAATAAAGGAATGGTGATTTTAGTTAATCTCATAATTCTATTCAAATTGAATTTTTTGTGTGAAATATATTTTTTCACATCAACAGTTTTATTTTAATGCATTAAAATGCTGAGAATCATATTGTAATCACTACTTTTTTTGTAAAAAAAAACAAAAAAAACAAAAAAAAACAAAGCAACAAGCAGTCTACTGATATCAGAATTATTGAAGATTCTGAGTCAATAATGGGTATGCATGGAGGTCCTATGACAAACTGACTGCCTGGCCATGCTGCTGTTTTGCTGCACACTGCACAGTGCATGCTAACAGTGAGCTAAATGTGTGACTTTAGGACACTCAAGTCCCACTGAGCAGATTTGAAGAGGAAGAAAAGCTAGAACATGATGAGGTCGCTGCTATTTCAAGGAAGTTGGAGGAAAAATATGTGAGTAGTTTTTTTTTTTTTCTCAAAACTGAATTATTGGTAAGTCTGACAAGAATTCTTTAGGTAAATGAAGACCAGTTTACTTCATTTTAGAATTGTAAAATCAGTCGAGTTGTACTAGATTTTCCTTTTTTAAACTGACATTTTTAGATGACAAATGGCACATCAGTATTTTGCATCCTCTTGTTGCAGGGTGACAAACCCAAGAAAAAGAAGGACCGCATTCAGGACTTGATTGATATTGGATACGGTTATGATGAAGAGGATTCTTTCATTGACAACTCTGAGGCTGTGAGTCAGTGTCAAGTAACATAAGATAGTTCTTATATCAGCATCTTGGAAGATCTGAGGCCTGTACTGTGAAGCAGGATTTGGAGTTAGCGAGGTAACTTCAAGGTTAACTCTGGGTTTTCAGTACTATGAATCAGGTTCTTTTTTTACTAGGATAAATCACGGTGGTAACTTATGCCGAACAGCTAACCTGCTCCTGAGCAGCGTATCGGATCACAACCTGTCAACACCTCGTCCTCTGACCAGTCAGATCACTGAAGAAAGAGGTATCCACGGACAATAGTCCGGAGTGTCAGGTAAAAAAAAGAGGAGCCTCTGCCTCTAAACAGAGAGATAGTTTACAATACTAAACATGTAATTTTAGCAGGATTTTAACTCATGCAAAGTTTATTTTAGTCGATTTTTACACTCTGATTCCATCACTGCAGCTCAGAATAACATGAGACATCTGTGTGACGAGAACTTGGAGAAAAAAAAAAAAGATAATAATTTATAAGAAAAGTAATCCACACACTGTTAATTAACTACAGTTATTATAAATGCAACATTCTGTCAGATAGACCTCATCAGTCATTAACTAGGCTACACTTCCACCCTTTATCTTAGGAGCAGGAACAGTTTGGCATTACCTTGAAGTGTTTCATGTGACATATTCATCATCATCATCATCATCATCCTCCAACTAAATAGCAAAAAATACTCAATACTAATGTCACATAATATAGCTTAGTGATACCTACATGTAATTTGAGTCTTGGCTGACGTTGAATTTTTGGATGATATTATCGATATTTCTAGTGTCAGTTATATCCCACGCTACTGACATAATTTTGTCTCGTAGTAGCAGACCGTTTCATCTCATATGTTGTAGCTTCATTCATGGTTTTGATGATGTCGCTAATTATTAACATGCCCGCCTCTTTAACATGAACGCGCTCTTGGCTAGATAGGAAAACCCAGAGTTGACTGAACTAGTCGATAACCAGCTTTGTAGTACCGGTTATCCAGACGGCCATTGTTAGGGTTAGTCACGCCAGATAATAAAAAGGGATTCTGGGTAAGTTGAACAGGCTTGGTAGTACAGGCCTCTGTTGTGTTGCAGAAAGATACAGTTTTTATTTACGATACACTGACATTACTCAACACTGACCAGATATCCCCTCAGTGAGTCTTTGCAAGGCCAGCTCACTTTGGTCCACACTGACATTTCTAGGCCGATCACTTCAACATTTTCTTCTGGCTTATCTACAATATTTCTCTTATTGATAAAATCTGTTCTAATCAATTTACAATACTGTTTCTGGCTGGTCTCTGTAGTATGATGAATTTGTGCCGGCCTCCATCACAACCAAATTTGGTGGGTTCTATATAAATTCGGGCGTGCTGCAGTTCTGCCAGGCTTCTGAGACCGAGGACCTCACAACAGAGGAGCCCTCAAAAGTAAGTTGTGCATCTAAGAAACATGCAAAGCATTGCTATGATGTTTTTGTTATCTCGGGGAGTATGTTTCAAGCTAAGAAGACATTTTTCAATCCTGTTTTGTATGCGATTGAATGTTAAAACTGTTCTTTGAACCACAGTTTTAAACACCTTCAAACAATGATTTTTTTTTTTTGTTTGTTTTAGAAACGTAAAGTCAATGGCAGACAGGGTAAGACAAAAAAGAAGCGCTGCAGAGAAGGTGAAGAGATGATGAGCAGTGTGGATCCTAAGTGAGTCTGACCAAAGAAATTTTACTTTTTTTGTTTAGAGCATTTCTCATTTGAGTGAATAAAATTCTCAGAATAATTCTCTCATAAGCATGACGTGTTTATCTTGTAGCACTGTGCCTGAAATTGGACCTGAAGACGAGGTGATGAAGAAGACAAAGAAGAAAAAGGCAGTTGGCACATTAAGTGTCACCAGCATGTTGAAAAAGTTTCAAAGAGAGAAGGAGAAGGAGCGACAGAAGATGGAGAAAGCCAATCAGAAGCCAGCTGCTATCATGGGCGGCGTCACAATCCCTCTGTGCCCGGCGGATGCAGCCGGCGGTGGAGGTACAGGACTGACTGACCCTCTCCTTAGTTTAATTTGATCAACCAATGACCATGCTCTTATCCAAGCAGCCAACACAGTGGATTTTGATATCGACTTAGACTCTTTATTAGACGTCAGTGAAGGGACTTCATCACCAAAGATGGTTCCTCAACCTGCAGCAGAGCTTTTCAGACCCAAAACAGATGATCCGGCCCAGATCAGTCCCAGTCTGACCCAGTCTGATGCTGCTCCAGTCCAGCCTCCAAATGCAAAGACTAACTTGCAGCTCAGGCCTCAATCAGAGCCAATCCAGCTCCTGTCACAAACCAGTTCTACCTCACCTCACCAGTGTGTCCCGCTACCAGAGGGACTTCCCCCACAACTGGAGGACAGCATTCGAAAACTCATGGTGGTAAGATACAATTTTATTTAGATGTCACTGTGTCCATGTGTTGACAGATTAAAGCTACAGTTAACTTTTTGTCATATTTCCCGAAACTGTCACAACATCCAAAACAACCAATCAGAGCTGACAATCACTTTAACTGCGGTCAAACTAGGCAGCGCTGATCAAATACAAACCAAGTTTCTGTTACTGCGTTGCTTATTTCTCACCTCAAATGTTTTCAGAAACATATTTAAGTCCATGTTTAGCTGAAAACTACAGGGAGGCACTGACTATAAACACCATCAAGTCAAACAGTTTTCTGACAGTTTCCAGCAGACCTCAGTCTGCACAGGAAGTCACACACACTCCCATCCTGTCAGATCCAATCCAATTTATTAAAATGTTATCGGAGCCGTGTATCCGTTTGTCTGCAGCCTCCAATTGTTTTAGTTATGACAGAGTAGCCTATTAAAATTCTTTACACGCAATCTGTAATTTCTGTTCATGGCTCAACCTCCATTTTACATGAATTCTCACGTAAACCAGCATTACATCAGTTTGCTGCTGTTTATTAACAATCTGATCAAATCCTCACATTACTCTAATCAGAAGTCTTTGTGTTGCCACATACTTCAGTAGTTAAAACAGTCCAATGTAAATATAGAATAGATGATGTATAGTTTATGATCTGTGCTATGAATGTACTTAGTCTCTCTGATAACTAACCATCAGGCACACAACATCTATTCCGTTAACAGAATAAACCCTCAAATCACACAAATAAAATCAAAATCTCTCCAGTTCTACAAAAATGAAAACGTATCAGGTGAGAGCAACGCGTTTCCCATCGCACACTGTAGAGAACTACAGCACCTGGCTCTGAAAACTGTACAGCAGCCTCGATCTCCTGAGATTATTGTTGTCCACTTCTGCATGATCTCAGAGGAAGTCAAGATTAAGTCGGACACAAATCTAACCTGCATGCATTGTGAGGTGATCGGTGGCGAACAATTCTGCGCAGCCATGGCTCATGTCAAACAAACCTTATGTCTCCTGTAAAAAGTTACCAAGTTAGTTACCAGCTGCAGCTTTGAGAACTTGTGAATTGCATTGATGGCTGATTTTTTTTTTTTTTTTTTTTTCAGGTTGCCAAGACCTCAGAGGGAGAGTCAAAACTCAAGTTCTTCACTCCAGAAATCAACTCAATCCTGCTGGAGTGAGTTATCCAACAACACAGACAAAGCAGAATTTTGTTGCGTTGGACATTATATGCTGGAAGCACTTTTTTTAAACTCTGAGGAGCTGCAAAATGAGCAGGCAACTTGTTGAATGTTGTAGATTGCACTTGTGAGAAAGCACATGCTGTTCTGAGTTGGGTCGTTTTCTTGAAACCAGGTACCCTGTGGAGTTTTCTTTTAAACAAAGAGTAACATTTACGTTCAGTGTTTCTCAACAAAGCGTTCTGTGTGGATTCTCAAATAAAACAGGGACATAAAAACTGACGACCCCTGACTAAGTGAGATATATCATGGATATTTCATATTGTATTCAATGTATAGCAATAGCAGCACAGAACAACTGATATTGTACAATGAGCCCAAATAGTGAATGCAATAACTGCAGGAAGTTTGTGTACGATGAGCGATTTTGATGAATTTTGAGCAGATTACTTCCTTCAAATATTGCAGAGATGAGTTTTAGAGAGATTTTTCGTAACTTTTTCTAGACTTGTCTGGTGTTATATGGGTGTATGCGTGGCAACTGGATACTGGGGGTCGCTACTGTACAGACTCTGGCTCCAAATTATGTCACCAGTGCAAGATGGCGGCAGCTGTATTTGGGGTATTTTGGCTTCAGTTTTGTATAGTTGAAGGAAGTGGAGATGCATCGTCCATCTTTACATGCAGTCATTGGCTCAGTCTGGTGTGAGGCTCAGTTGATAGACCAACTTCAAATACCACTTGCAGATGATGTGTGCACGCTCTCAATGGTAGCCTGCCATATATTTTTTTTGTGCAGACCAATGGGAATTCTCCACAATCATGAAAATTAGTCCTCATGGTAAATGGACTGCATGTATAGTGCCTGTAACATTACCCAGGTGCTCACTGGTCATTAGGAGCAGTTTTGGTGTTCACTGTCTTTCTTAAGGTCACTTTCACAAGCAGTCAGGAGTCCTGTGATATCTTGACAACCTTTTCTGAGCTACTGAACTTGTCACACACAAATCTGACCGTATTTGTTGTAAAATCTGACTTTAAATCACGAAGCAATGTGTTCTGTCTTTCGTTGTCCGTTGTGATATTGAACCTAGTTTTTAAGTGTGTAGTTCAGCGCTCTGACTGTGTCTTAATCCAGTGTTGAGTTGCAGTGTCGGGAACAGAGTGGCCAGGTGCGCTCCAAGGTGTACACACACCTGTCGTCTTTCCTGCCCTGCAGCAGAGACACACTCCTCAAACGCGTGAAGAAACTGTTACTCGCACACATGGTGAGGGTGTTTTAACGTTTGAGTTGATCACAGGTCGTATGGGTTGTTCAAGTTATACATTTGCATGCGACTCACTTGTTGAATTTGACGCTGACAAACAGGAAGCCCCTAATGTGGGGGATCCCATGCAGAAACTCAAGGAGGCCATCGGTAAAGCTATGCCCGAGCAGATTGCACGTTTCCATGAAAACTGCCAAGCATACGATCAAGCCAAGACTTTCAAGTAAGTTCATCAGCATATTCTTTCATAATCATAGTGTAACTTGATCAAAATGCATAAGCCTATTCTTTTATATTGATTGACATGACATTAAAGATATAAAAAAACGCTAACTTGAATTGAGGTGGCTAAAAACACATGGACTGGAATCCACCGGAGAATCCTCAGAACACCACTCTTCCTAAGAGATTTCCTCTTTTGGCTTTTTGATGATTGTGATGGAGAGTCTAACAAGTCAGTCCAAAATCTCCTACAGGTGTTCATTTGGACTGACATCTAGATGACAGTAGCGAATGATTAGAAGTTATTAGCCTGGGTTATTATTTGCTTAAATCACTGAACTCCACAGGCCTATATTTGGGACAGGTGTCAATATGGAAGAGGCCTTTAGTTCCTTTCACACAAAAATGCTGCTCAGCAAAGATTGGGAAATACAACCAAATAATGAATCATTCATTTGATCTAGCTCTGAGATAGAGTGCTTTATGACATTCTTTTACAGCACCCTAGGATTACAGCACCCTGCATATCGATACAACATCACTTTGTCCTGTTAAACAATGCTCACAACTTAGATTAATGTTTATAAAAAAAACTTTTTGAGTCTTTTGATTGGTGGACCCTTGCAGACTAAAGGATTATGAATAACTTACAGGTAAATCAAGGACACATAATTTGACTTTATGACAGCTTCAGAGGTACACAGTCACCACCTTTTTTTTTTTTTTTCCCCATCTTGTTTACCAAATCTGTATGCATTATTTTTTTGGTGCTTTTGGTTTTAATAAAATGAATTGAACAGTTGAATTACACAGAATGTAACTGAGCTAATAATGTGTAGCATCTCCATACTGACAAACGTTTAAACATTTATGCACAAAGCTAACTAATATTAGCTCAAGTGGGTAGTCAACAATCTGGTTTTATATATCCAAATAACGTCTATAAAAAGAATGAACTGCTTGGTAACCAGACCAGGCCTCTAATTGAGACAGGCCTTTATTTGTCAAAATGTGTAGCCACACCAGGTTAATAAAAGGGATTAGGCGTTTACTTGGGACTAGGCTTTTAATAGAAGTTTAATGGTACATCATTTTCATTCTCATCAAACCATTCAGTGAACCCTCCTTCCCTATGGATGGGGGTACTGTCATCCTAGAAGAGACCACTCCCATCAGTATAGAAATGTTTTATCATAGGATAAAGGTGGTCACTCTTTAACTTTGTTTTGCAGTGACCCTTCCCTCTAAGGGGACAAGTGGACCCAAACCATGGCAGCATAACAGAGCCACCATTCATCATGTTTCTCCGCTCATTTATTTCACTTTTTCCTTTTAAATTTGTCACCTGTCTGTATCTTTTTCCCTCTCATCTTGATCTCTGCTTCTGCCCATGCTAGGGAGGAGGAGGAAGACGGCAAAGAGAAGGTGAATGCTGGCCCAGAGGACAACGTGGAGGAGAAAGCTGGGAAAAGAGGAGGCCCAAAGAAGTTGTTCCAATGGAATGACGAGATCAGGTCAGATGTAACTAAGATCGCTTGATTATTTGAAATGTTATTTAACCTGCTTTTATTTATTATTCCATTTTTACTAAGTGTAAAAATATTCTCTTGTGCAGGGAGAGTTTGTGTGAGGTGTTACAGGTGAAAATGGAGAGATATAAAAAGGAAAGGAAAGGGAGCCAGGAGGTGGAGGAGCACCTGAAGACCTTGTTGGAGAATGAGGTCAAACCTCTTTGGCCAAAAGGGTGGATGCAGTCTAGGTTTGTGACACTGGTGCAAATGAGTTTTGTACTTCTAAAAGTATTATTTACCAGATTGTGTATGCAGACATGCTCTTTCTTTTCATTTGTTGTTTCAGGGTGCTGATAAGGGAGAGCAGGAAAATGTTGAGCCCGTTTACGTCATTACCGTGAGTACAACGAAGAACTGAGCTCCCCCAAACAGATTTGATCAAAAGTCTATTTTTTTCTTCTTTGATCAAGAGATGTCTAAATACAAATTAACTTGATGTCTCACATGTTCTCAGAGTAAAGAGGGCCAGGCCTGAGAAGAAGCAGCCATCTATCGTTGACCCTCCAGCTTCATCAGATGGCTGCACTGTTCCCCTGGGGTCTCTGCCACTGAAAGGACTCCCCCAAGAAGCAGATGATGTCTTTATCGTGAGCTCAAATATTTCCAATTCTGTGTCACTTGGTACTGAGAAAAAGGAAGCTGCTGTCTTGAAAAAAGTGGATGGTAAAACAGGAGAAGGGGCAGCAGCGGATGCTGGTTCCTTTACACCTGCAGGAGCAGACAAACCTCTGGTCACCAGGTCCACTCCGACTCACTCCCTCCTGGATCTCCTTGCTGATCAAGCACTGGCTCGAGAGCAACCTCTCTCAGTTTCCGAGGAGCTCCTAGCAGCAGCTGTTGCAAAATACAAACGTTCAGTTCAGCGCTGGAGCTTTGGGATGGACACCAAAAGTCCCCCTCTTCCTCCTCCACCTCCTCAGTCCAGCCCAGTCGGTTTCCCACTGAGTGGGGTGTGTCATGTTTTGCCCCAGCTGCTGCAGGCTCAAGATTTTCCCAGACACGTGGATGATCATGTGCAAATCATCTCTGATGATGATGATGACGTTATTATACAGTGACAGCTCTAAATGCAGATTTACAAAGAGTAAGTTTTATTTATTTTTAGTTGTTAAAACGTTGGCTGACCTAACAGTTATTTACTCCTGATTTTGGGAGAACGTTTAAAATGGGTGATTTACTGTTGAGACAGATTATAAAATGAACCCTTTAAAATAAAAGCAGCAGATATCCTGACTTTTAGTCTCTACTACGGATCAACCAATAACCTACATTTCCCATTATGCATCTAATAGCTGTTTTGTCAGACCCTTCTTGTCTGTAAAAGGCCCTCTTCTTTCAAATTCCACAAACTCACTTACTAGTCTCACAAAGCTAGACCCATCTCACACTGCGCCAGCACCAGAGAAAGCCCTGGCTGAATCCGTCATAATACCACAGTAAGGTAAAAAAAAAAAATCTCTAGATTGTTTGTTTGTATTTCTTTAAACCAAACACAATCATTTTGGGTGATGCTAAGCCCAACATGCAGTGATAGTGCCCTTGCAAAATAGTGTTGATGGAAGGGAACTTGTTTTGGTGGAACATTTGCGCATGGCTTGGTGAGCCCTGGCATGGAAATATTAAATCCCTGCAAAAGAAAATGCCACATGAAACATTAAAAAGACATTTTAGCATGTAGGCTACTAGCTTGGAGGATGTTATTGTTTCATGCACAAAACACACCTAAAACAAGGTGTGGAAATGAGTCTGGCTGCATGAGACTATTTTCATGTAGCAACAGGGATTTTGAAAATGGTAATGTACAAGAAGCGTGTTGCCGAGGGCTGTCCCAAATACCAGTTTTTGGGAATTGAAGCGAGATATATTCATGACTAATCAACACATGGGGGACAGGGGGTAGATGAGAGACGAGGACATCAGTCGATGCAGCTAAAATAACGTGACAATCAGCCACTTTGTTACCACACAGGCGGCACATTAGCCATGATAGCTAGAAAAGAATAATTTGCAAGATGGCTGAGCTTTTAATTGCAGTTTTCCAGTGATTGCCAAGCTTGTTGGGGATTTGTGACATACCAGTTTCCTTTGGAGTATCTGGCGTTTGACTTTTGGGTGTCATCTTCGCAAATTTATGAACTAACTATTCAATAGCTTGATGGGGTTTTTTATTTTTTTATTTTTTATATCTTGCTAGCATATCTGTAAGCCTGGCATAGGGTCATATTGTCCCTTTTTTTTTGTAGTGCTGGACTGCTAACGACTGATGGTAAATGAGAGTAAGTCGTCGTCACAAAACTGTCACTAAGTTTAAATGTTCATGTCTGACAATAACTAAAAATGATTAATGTTTATGCACAATGAATAATTTTGAATAAGTATTTCTTAATTATTGGGGATTTTTGGGGTAATGCATACATATATTAAAAAAAAAACATTTGAAAACTGACTGACATCAGTTGCCACAGCAACAATCAAAGCTTCGAAGCTTTTGGATCTGCCCTAGTGTTGACGTTTATCTCAGCAGTTGATTATAAGCTTATACCCACAGTCTACATCCTGTGAGCCAGATGATTTAGTAGCTTTCCAACTACATCTGATGAAACACCATGAGATTAGTTGAAAGCTTAAATAACTATTTTTTTTTTTTTTTTTGGTCAGACTTCTATTTCTAATATATTACTCAGCAGTTGTGTAGGCCTAATAGAAGCATGCATCTGAGGAGCAGCTACACCAATAGTCCCTTTTTAATATGAGACAATGCAACAACCAACACACATAGTGAAGCATACTATTTTTTGCCGAAGGACGACGCAGGCTTTGAACATGTTTATAGTTTCACATTTTATTATTTAGCTGTCAAAAAAATAGTCAACATTTGGTGACCTGATGTTTACCTACTATAAATGAAATGCTGCAAAATACCTTGTAGATTTTGATAATTTGCAATTTACCTAAGTGCCGATAACACGTTTAACGTTCAGTGACACATTGTAAAGTCGATAGAAAATAAGTCTTCTGTCTTTTCTTTCTAGATGGGAGCAGTCTCCCTGCAGATGGACTGGACACATGATGGGAATCTACTCAGAGAGTCACCTGTGATGATGACCCTTTAACTGACTTGTATTTGAAAGGCTTTGTTTAAAATGTGAATGATTTAGTTTGGATTAATAAATAATAAAGTGCTTACATGTTGTGTAGTCATTTGTTTTTAAAGTGTAATTATGTGAACACAAGGTACAGTAACTGAAGCAATTCCAAGCCTTGAGTTTTAGTTTTGAGCTACTACACTCAGTGGATTCATTTTTAAAAATGTGTTTTTCACATTTAACCACAGCAGTGCACAGTCATGGTGCCTTGACTGCCTTTTCAAACAAAACGCTTAAAGGCTTTGTGACTGCCATGTTTGTCCACCTATTATTCTCTACTACTGAAGCATTTTCTGTATCAGGGATGTGTTTTGTTTTTGGTGTGACCTTGAGCCAGCAGAACTGAAGTTCCAGTCACACTTGTTACCAGTATTTACCACCTTTTATATAATCAAATTGTTTGCCACTCTGTTCAGCACATGGACTGCATAAAGTAATGGCCATAGCTACCATGACGTCAACCATTGGTTTGTGGAGTGCTGTTTTGAAGCCTCAAGTGTAGCATTTCTGCCGTTGCCATCTTGGTGTTTTTGGGGCCAGAAGTGATCGTATTTGAACGATAGGGTAGTCTGACTCAGACTGTTGTCACCTCAAGCAGCCTGTCCCTCAAAGTGACTGCACCCTTAATTATGAGTAACTTTAAGCCAAATGTAAAGGGATGAGTTATATAAAAGTTCTCCTTCTGAGCAGTGAAATTAGCTGTAGAGACCAGAGCCGTTTTTGTATACCAGGCTGTAAACATGTTAATTGATGGTGTAAAGTTGGGCATTTTAACATGGGGGTCTGTTTGGATTGACACATCTGGAGCCAGCCTCAAGTGTCCTTTCGATGAACTGCACTTTTGGCACATCTGTGTTGGCTTTATTTTTCAGGTTGTCGCCTGGTTTGGCCTCACATCAGTGATTCACCTGCATTTACTTTCATTTTGACCATACTTTGTTACTGAATGAGCAAGGCAGTTCAAATCTAAAGCAATACAGTACTGCTGTTGGATACAAGATAGTTCAGCATTTTAATGCACAGCAGACTGGTTGTAACCTCAGTGAAAGAAGACGCGGTGCTTTGCAATGTTAAAAGTGTAGACACCACACTTTGGTAGCTCTTCATATTACAGACACGTGAGCACATGTACACAGGATGGACCTCGAAAGACCTCGAAACACTTTTTGGCAAAGAGTTAGACAGTTTATAAACATCCTCTGTAAAGAAACAGGCATGGAAGAAAGCAAACCACAGTCACAGACCTATATCGCTGTTGATTATTACAATTTACAAGACTATGAATTTATTTCTAGAGCAGCTTTCAGTCTTGAAGATATGAAAGTTAGCTTTTTTTTTGCATATTACACAAACCAGCTTAATAACACACTGTAAGAAAATGTACCTGGGCAGAAGCTCTCTAAAAGAGAACCATATTTGCTGCTAGTGAAACCCCACTGTTTTTTGGAGTGCTGACACTGTACAATCAGACACTAATGCGAAAGTGATCAATTTAAACAAAAGAGAGACAAAACAAGTTTTTTCTCCTGACAAAGCACAGCAGGAGCCGTTCATCCAGACAGCATGGGAAGAAGAAACACGCATCGTGTTGGGTTCTTTGAGTAGGTTTTACAGCCAGCTGATCATCTGAATAAGTAAGATGGCCAACAGGAAATGTCTATTACAGCTGTGTGTAGTTCCTAGGAAGAGAAAGAGATAAATTAAATCAACCAATACAGGATTCCTTTTACCTCAGATTTTTTTTTTTTTTTTTTTTTTGCTGTAATGAAAGAACAAAGCAATATCAGAAATTTGGAAAGGACGACAGGTTTAAACATTTTTAGTTAGAACTCCTCATATAAAAAGTCTGTGGTTTGCAGGTCTCATGGTTGGACTGATTTCTATTTGTTTGAAATTCAGTGCGGAAATGCAATGACATTCATTTTATAATAATGCCAAAAACATAAACCTACCACTGTTGGGAAGGACCTCTACCTCCACTGTAAAGTTTGTATGTCCCAGTGGTCCTTGTGCAGAGACTATGTATTTGCCAGCATGTTGTTTGCTTGAGTGAGTGGGCAGGGCAACCACCTGCCCATCTCTGAACCAGGTGACCAACGGTTGGGGGTTTCCTTTCACCTCACAGCTGAGGCTCTCTCCCTCTCTCACCTGCAGCTTTGTAGCACAAACCAGCTGTGGACCAACTGAGAGGAAAGAGAAGTCAAAGTGAGGAAGAGGAGGGAAAGACATGGGGTGTACATGTTTTTTTTAATCAGGAAAGATGTTAAGACACTCAAGAGAGAGGGAGAGAGGTTGTAAATAAAAATTCTTACTGGTAAAAACTATACACCTTAAACATACTAAAAATGTTAGCAGTTTGACTCACAGAGAACACTGGCAGTGATACTTTGTGACATCACCACTGGAGGGAGCTGTGGTCCTTCAGGTCCCAGTTCCAGCTTTGCTTCACACCAGTACATGACCCCATCATCTTCTTTACTGGGGGTGATGTCTAAAGTGAAGGTCTCAGTCACTGGTTTCTTCTCTGTGATGTTTTCAGAATGAAGTTGACCCAGTGTTGTTTGTCCTTTATAAAAAGTCACAGTGAGGTTTTCAATAGGAGCGACTTCCTCCACTGTACACTGCAGAGTGTACTGGTGACCCTCAAACATTGGCCCAGTGTGATTATCAAAGCTGATGGACACATTGTCTGGAGGCTCTGTGGAGACAGATCATTGGATAAACCACACAGAAAAAGATGTTCTAACATGTCAGACAGACAGAAATATGAACTCACTGTAGACTGTTAGAGGGAGATCAATGTGGCACTGCCCTCCCAGTTCAGACAGTGCATAGCACTGAGGCTTGATGCTCCACTCCGTCATCCTGTCCACACTCCAGACCAGAAAACGATCCATAGTGACATCAGGAGGTTCCTAGAGTTACAAAAGGTCGCAGATCACAAATTAAGATTAATATAATATTATCATATATGTATCACTAACAGTAATCCTGCAGTAAATCCTAAATTTGTGAAGCTTATAATGTTCCGTTTTTGTTGACACTGTCCGTGCCTATGTGCCAAGTTTGTGTTCAGAGTATCGAGCCTTCTTGGAGTCTCTGGGTGTGGTCTAGAAGAGCACACCACCTTCATACTACATAGTTTTGCTGCAGTTTTGTATATTTAACATGCATGCATCCAATGTGGAGAGATGCACGAACGATGGGTCGCCACAGCACAATGCCCCAAGCAGTTAGGGGTTCTGTGCCTTGCTTAAGGGCACCTCAGGAGTGCCTAGGAGGTGAATCGGCACCTCTCCAGCTACCAGTCCACACGTCGTACTCGGTCCCTGCGGGGACTTAAACTGCCAACCTTCCGGTTCCCAAGCCAACTCCCCATGGACTGATTTACTGCTGTTCCAGTAACGCATTTAAATGGTCATGGACAATGATGGGAAAACCTGAAGGGCATGACTGTGAGAAACGGTCTGCCTGAACTGAGTTTGAATGCTGCACTTTTATTGGACTTCTGTGTTAGTCATTAATTGTCTACAACAGACGAGGTTATTCCTAAAATCTGCACCATAGGGTCTAGAACACTTTGGTGAAGAGAGGAACTGTCAGCTGATCACCATGTGGTGGTGCGTTGGATCAAGTGGCGGGGAGGCTGCCACAAAGACTCTGTAAATCGAAACATATAGTGAGGGTGAACTAGAAACATCTGGCTGAGGTCCCTGTCCACATCCTCCTGCCTCCAGCGGACCTTTTTTCTGTACCCTTGCAGAGTCCAGGACCTTGGCCACAATCAAAGCCTCCATTTTAGAGGTAACTAACTACATCAACTTGTTGGGCACCTTTTAGCTGGAGAAGGGATTATTTTGAGCTTGGCCAGCCCAGGAGACTTCTTAAACAGCACTGAGGTATCAGGAGGCCAGACAGACTGCACCATCTGTGAGCATGAAAGCAAAATCCTGAAAGAGATTCTGGCAAACAATCCAGGAAGAGAAGGCAAGTTCTCCTCCAGCCTGTTCTCAGCAGGGCAGAAGACCTTCTGACTTAGAGTGTGGATATTGTTGGACAATGGAATAAACATTTGTGACAGTGACAGTTTTTGTGGGCTGGCAGACAGAGGTGGTGGTTCCTATTTTGTCTGTGTCAGAAGAGTTCTCACCTACTGGACATACTCCGTTTGGTTTAGGCAAGGGGTGGCATCTGGGTATAGCGTGCAGGAGGCAGGACATGACGTGGACTACACCATAATCCCATAGCCAGATTGTAATTTGTTCTTAAACATGGTCTCTTGCCATTTCTTTAATCTGTCGACGATTTTGGCGCCGGGCCTTACCAATAGAAGTCGCAGAATCTTGCCATCTCTCCAGTTAGAAATTACCCTTTTTCTCCACCTTTGGATGTTAATCAAATGTCATCAACACAACCACTAGCTCACTGTGAATTCTCTGGACAATTACCTGCTTGATTCACCCATGGGCATAGTCAGACACTACACAAACTTCATACTAGAGAGCTGGCAAGATAAAGTCTGTTTAGTACCTGATCCAAATGATTTGGACAGTTGGGTTCTGACATGCAGCTCCCCTGGGTAATGTCCAGATAATTTCAGGTTTGCAGTGCATGTGTGAAAGGGGCCTTAAATTCAGGAGGAATGGTGCAGATTTCATTCTGGTTGTGGAACAGTGGACCAGTTCTTTACATGTTTAGGAATCCTGCAGCCTACATGTGCTTTGTGGAGAAGGCTTACAACCATGCCACCCTGGATGTCTCATGGGAAATGTCACAGAAACATGGGGTGCAGTGGCTGTTTTTATGTGCCATTCTGTCCTTGTATAACCAGAAGGAACGCTGTGTCTGAACAAAAAGTCCAGCACATCCTCTGTGGGGTTGGGCTTCTCTCTGATTCTGTTTGTGACATTCATAGACAGAACTCAAGGTGCAGCTGAGAGGTTCAGAGTGTCTGTTATGTTGACCTCAGAATAACATCTCTACTAGTTTCAGATGATGTAGCTCTGCTGGCTTCATTAAGCCATTACCGCCCAGTTTGCATTGGGACAGTTTGGGTCAGTCTGAAGTGGTGCAGATGAGAGTCAACACCTCTAAGTCCTCTAAGTCTGAAGTCATTGCACTCTGCTAAAAAATGGCAGATTTCTCCCATTAGGAGTGAGTTGCTGCAACAAATGAGGAGGAGTTAAAGTATCTTAGAGTCTTGTTCCCAAGTGGGACACTGATAGGTACGGGAGATAAGGGAGTCTCAGGGTGTTCAAGTTATATATTAGACAGTATTCCCCTACCAGTGAGACTTCCCAACCAAGAGCGGAAAATCGCTGAATCGTCGATACAGAGCAGTTCGCTGAAACTGGATCTTCATACCTGTGACAGGAGAGTTTACACACAATTAGTTGTCAGTCATTGGCACAGAAACATGAAAGAAGTACGCTTCTCAAACATGTCACATAGAAACGAAGAGGGAAGGCCTTTTTGTGTGTGTTTACTTGACTTTTAGTGCCTGCATCTGCACATAAATTGATAAAATTCCTCTCATTCTTCTGCACTGCACGACTTCCCTCCTTTTTTCGATAATTTAAAGGCATCAGCTGCTAAACAAGTGCAGATTACTGTCAGAGTAGAAGCTTGTTGGTATAAAGGGACAGAGGGAAAAGGTGAACCAGATACCTAAGCTTATCAATAGACAGTCCAGTGCTCTCAGAGTGGCATGTTTAAATCACCCTTTGCCCAGTGTTACCCAATACACAAGAGCATTTTGGTGCAAACACTGTATCTCATGTCTGTACACAAGGGTCAATCTCCACTCCAAAGATTCTTTTGAAATGAAGAAAAGGAAAGACACATGAGGAAATGTTATTTGGAATTTGATTGAGCGGACCCTTTAATCACTGAGCCACCGCACCACCCGAAAAATAACCACCAGCTATTTTTGACATACCTGACCACCAGAGTGGAGGGTGACATCGTCAAGGGGCAGTGGACTTCCTCTGTTGATTCACCAGAGTTGCTGATGAAGGGTGGGGTACTGAGAGAAGGAGACTGATGAGATGGGAGGATTGTTTGAGAGGGAGAGGGAGGTGAAATTTGCGATGGAAGAGGTGGAGCAGGTGTGTAAATGGAAACAGGGGATGAGGTAGCTGAGGTCACAGGGGTGGTCAGAGGGTAGGAAGGGAAGAAAGACACAATAAATCACTTGAATTTGTCGACGTATTAATAAACATATCCTGAGGGCTCCCTCCCAATCAAAAAGAAAAAAAAAAAGAAAAACACATAACATGTCATAACAATTCTCTCTTATCTTAAAGTATAAACACTGAATACAGAATAAACCCTAAAATACAAGAATTCACAATTGTATTATGCTTACATATCTGCAGTGTCAATTCCAATCGCAGAAAAGAAATGCTGTATCTCTTCATTTGTTTGTGTTGGTGCTGTGAGCCAAATGAACCCATGAGTCATTTCCCCCTGTCTTTACATAATACAGACAGGGGTCAATTGAATTTTGCCATCTCGTGAAATAATACTCTTTTTAGCTGATCTGTTGTGAACCATTGTTTCGTAGCACACTGAATACACCCAGTGTGTTCCTCTGAGGAAGGAAGGACACCCTGCCCAAGTCAAAGAACTCGCTCTTCTTTTCTATGACCATTGTTCCACTGAATCCTGAGGTTGTTCTGCTGCCTATCAGATGATCTCACTCACAGTAGCTCTCTGGTGTGTGTGTCAGCCAACCCCCCCTTATTATTATTGATGCATCATCACAGCATTTTGATGCTGTAATGTTTAATCTACTTTATGAGGTCAAATTTTTATTTGTTAGCTATGGAGTCAGTTTCATGAGATGGTATATTTTGTATCAATTTCTTTGAATATGAAAAGTAACTAGAAACTATAGCTGTCAGACGAATGTACAGTAGTAAAAATTACAATATGTCCCTCTGGAAACTAGACGATTAGAAATATAAAGTGACATAAAATAGAAATGCTCAGGTACAACACCTCAAAATCATACTTAAGTACAGTAAGTGTACTTAGTTACTTTGCACATTCATCATGACACACACATACTGTACATGTATAACAGATGAAATGTCCTCATAGTGCTTAGTAGTGTTTCCCTTTGTTATGTTTCTGCCTGTGGTTCCCAAGTAGGTCCCCTCAGTGTTTCTACAATAAATCTGAGAGATCACGAGGTAATTGCAGATGATTCCAGAAGAAAATACCTTACCGCTCAGCAATTTTTAAAGCTCTTTTTCATGTGAAGTCAGTTTTATTTACAAAAACATAAATTTACCTGAGAGGGCTCTACCAATGCTACAGCATACCTGTAAGCTACTCTGCTCACAGATCCCACGACTTTGCTAATCTCCTTGCTTGAGTCTGTTTTTTTCTCCTAAAAAGAGTTTTATCTCATCAGTCTTCGAAAAATGTCTAAAATTACACAATTAAAGAAGTAATTATTGATCACTGTGACCACTCGTCACAACCTGTGACGAGTGGTCACAAGTACATCCTCCAGCGTAATTTACTGTGAGGGATTACAACCCCAGAAAAGCTTTACTATTTTTAAATTACAAGTGTTTATCATCTGACTGTTTCCACATCAAGCATTCAGTTGTCACTTCACTCACCTGAGCCGAACAGGCAAAACAGCAGAAGTGAGATTGGTCGTCCAGATGCACTCATCCTTCATCAGGTTCCCTGACACAAAATATTGGCTGCTGATATGACGTCTCTCTCAAACACCAGTGACTGGCTGTGTGATGCTGGCAGAGGCACAGCTTGAGACTTCTGAGAAAACACACTGGGTACATCAGGTTTTTATGGGAGTGTGGGTGTGTATGCTTTTTTTTTAGCATGTGTGTTCTTCTTGTGTGTGTCTGAAGCTGCACTGAAGCTGATGATCAGGCGATTCCTTTGCTTGGCCTCTAAAACCCACCATGGGCGTTCTCTGTTAGTAAATCAAGACAGGAAGGAAGGGAGGGTCAAGAATAATGCAGTGTAGTGCTGCTGCACAGAGGGCAAGAATGAGTATGCGTTGTGTGTGTGTGTGTGTGTGTGGGGGGGGGGGTTTACACAAAGATGATATGTTGTCACAGAAAATCCAGCATGGTCAATACAATGAGAGCTGTTGTTGATATTTCAGTGTTTCTCACATCCACCACATTGCTACATTGCTGTCTAGTTTAAACCATGTATGTCCATATTTTTTCATTTCATATATCTCCTGAAGGCTACAGTTGATAACGTCTATGAAAAAAACTTTTTGTCATATTTGCTGAAACAGTCACTATATTCTGAAAGAAGTACACAAGACAGATAGTCTGTTAACAAAATCATGCCCCTCCTAACCCTAATCAGAGTTGAGGAGTCTCTAACTCTTTCTGATTTACCAATTTCTTGCCTCAAATGTTTTCAGAACAGCCCGTTCTCTTTCCGAAGTCGAATACTGCCTGTGTCAGTGATTTGTCATCAGGCAACGATGCGAAAAGCCACCTTGTGCAGTGGTATGATACACTACTGGGCTGCTTCAGTTAACCCTAACCCTAACCCCACGTTCTTTTGTTGCCTAAACCTAACCATGTGCTTTTGTTGCCTAAAACTAACCATGTGCTTTTGTTGCCTAAACCTAACCATGTGCTTTTGTTGCCTAAAACTAACCATGTGCTTTTGTTGCCTAAACCTAACCATGTGCTTTTGTTGCCTAAACCTTACCATGTGCTTTTGTTGCCTAAAACTAACCATGTACTTCTTGGCTGCAGTTAATAAGGCGTGACTGACATAAGTGACAGATGTGTTAGAAACTCCTTGGATCTGACTGGATGTTTCACATGGGAAAAGGCCATTAGAAGTGCTGCAAGGCAATAGAGGAGGCAGTGGTGGATCTTTTGGCATCCAAAAAAATAAGGGACATAAGGGAAATGGTGGAGAGGAGTCTATGTGAAGAGGGCACAGTACAAAAACAAGAGGAAGACAAAATTTGCATACTTTTATTGTTTGTCATTAATTGTTACTATTTGTTAGCTAAGGTGTTTATTTGTCCTTTGTCATCTGTCTTTAGCTTTTGTTCCTGTCAGTAATAAATAGAATAATTCGTCACTGAGAGTAGGGAGATGTGTATGATTTTTATTACCTATTCTGTGTATGTGAATGATGTCACTAGCAGTAACTGTTTTTCTCAGCTCTACAGAGAGTTTCGGCATCTGTTTTTAGTTGTTAGAGCTACTGAAGAGAGAATATTGGACTCCATCAGGTGGGCACAAGCACAACTCTAAATGCTAATTTCACCACGTCTGTTGTCGTTTACCATATCAACAAAGACTTGTGGTTTATCTGAAGATGCAATAAAATCTCTCTCTCCCACCTTTGCTCTGTTGGTTAATTTTTAACCCTAACTTGACAATTAAACAGGTTTATGCCCATGCTGACTCCTACCAGGGTTTGACTGTGCTGTCGTCAATCTTCCCGTCAGACCATAAGGAAGTCTAAAGCTGAGAGTATCGATTAGGTTTAAGGTGCGCTTCAGTAAGAGTCTGCTTTCTTTGATTGTTGGGACGTTCGTGAGACATTTTGGACAGTTGAGCTGACAAACTTCAGGTAAGTTTTCAATGATGTAAATATAAATTCTGCAGTAATTTTAATGGTAACTGTTGAGCAGATCCAGACATGTACCTGCCTGATATCTGGAATGGCATCAAGGCTTGAGACAGCTGTGTTCCTGTAGGATATTGGGTCGATCTACATGCCTCTATTTATCTCTATATTTGACATTAAGAATTCTTGACAAATGTAAAATATTTAAATCTCTCAAATCTTCAAATTCAGCCAAATTAATTGATTTTTATTTATTTATTTTCAAGAAAAACTATATTAAGTCTTCCTTAAATATGGAGGACCACATCTGTCATAAATAGTCACTGAGCATTCGCTTAAATGATATCTCAATGGAATGCTGGATTTCATACAATATTTTACAAATGAATAAATAATCCCATTGATATTTTATTAACTGATATTGAAATGGCCAATAGCAAGAACGACTGTTTTTACAGACTCAGTAAAAATAGGTCAAATTAGAAAAGAGACAAAAAAGGAAAATCAAGTGTAAAAAGTAATTGTTCCTGTAAATGCCTAATTGAAATGTGTATTGTTTTTGTGAAATATTTTATTAATTCCATTTTATTGTTCAAACAGATATCACTTTTTCAGATTTTTTTTATAACTATTTACATGATACCTGTGGTCCGGCATACGTTAAGGGTTGAGAATATGCTCTTTCTAATGCTCAATAACCCATTTAAAAACCCACTGGATTATCTGATAAATGTGTCATCACAAAGCTGAAAACAAAACTGTTTTACTCACGTAAGGTTGACTTCTTAGAGACGTGGTTTTGCGAGACAGTGAAACTGAAGCTCGCTCCTAACTAATTCCCCCTCTCCTGCCTCTTCAGTGATTAAAGATGCTGGTGTCACAACTGCTCTTGAAGACTCTGGAGGACCTGAGTAGACATGACTTGAAAAGATTCAAGTGGTATCTTGCTCTCAATAACTTGAAAAACTGTAAACGAGTTCCCCTGTGCCATCTGGTGAGCTCACACTGTCGTGACACTGTGAGTAAGATGATAGACAGCTACGGTGAAGAAAAGGCTGTGAGCTTGACCGTTGCGATCCTGAAGAAGATGGAGCACAACAGCGCTGCAGAGGAGTTAGAGAAAACATACGCAGGTACAGTTCGTCAATGAGTTTGTAGATGCTGCTAAATTGTGTCTCTTACTGATTGTCTGTGTCCTAATCTTTATTTTCCTAGAGGGAGCAGCAGCTCAGGAGAAAGTCTCTCATGCAGATGTAACCTCCTCCTCCTCGTCTGCTTTGGATCTTCCAACTGATCAGAAAATTTCTACTGATGGAGCAGCTGGTGCCATCACTCCTAGGGCTTCAAATGCCACTAATGACAGCATGAATATCAGTGGTAATGTTTGCAGGAATGCTGGCAGTACCGTTAGCAGTAATGATAGCATGGCTGTCAGTGGTAATGTTCACAGAAATGTTGGCAGTATTGTTTCCGGTAATGCTAGCATGACTGTCAGTGGTAATGTTCACAAAAATGTTGGCAGTATTGTTTCCAGTAATGCTAGCATGACTGTCAGTGGTAATGCTCTCAAAAATGCTGGCTGCATTGGTGGCAGGAATGTTGGCAGTATTGATAGCATGAATTTCATTGGTCATGTGTTCGGAAATGTTGTTTACACTGTTAACGGTGATGGTAGCGTGGTTATCAGTAATAATGCTTGCGAAAATGTTGAGGATGATATTGGCCGTGTTGCTGTCATAAACTGTGATGTGATTATCAGTGGTAATATTGTCGGTGATATTGCCGGAGATGTCAGTGATATTATTGGCAGAAATGGTAAAGTGATTATTAATGGTAATATCCGCGGAAATGTTGGCCCTATTGTTGGCTGTAAATCTGTTTTGGTTATCAGTGGTAATGTCCGCGGTAATGTTTGGGGTAATCGTAGAGTGATTGTCTCTGGTAATGTCAGAGGTAATATTTGGGGTACTGATGCCACTGATGGTAGTCTGATCATCAGTGGTAATGTTGGCGGTAATGTTGGCGGTGATGATGAAGATGGTATTGGGGAAGTTGTTGACAGTTTACGTAGTATGATTATCAGAGACGTTGGCCATCATGTATCACTGAGCACAAACGAATGCAAATACCTTGGATTTAAAAACCCAATAGGCAATAAAACAGATTCGTATTCATATTCATATTCATATTCTTATTCTGATTCTGATTCTGATTCTGATTGATTCGGATTCTGATTTGGATTCTGGTATTTGATCAGTTAGATAAGCCCTCCAACGGCCCCAACACTTCACCATTTTTCACCCATGCTGACTATTACTGGGGGGTTGACTGTGCTGTCCTCAATTGACCTAAGGCTAAGCCACGCCCCCCTCCACTCACTTGGACAAACTATCAACATTCAGTGACCGGCGCTATGGCAGGTGTCACAGTACACGGCATTTCGCAGGAGGCAACTGATGATTTTTGGGGACATAACGATCAGATGTCACTGAGAAGTAACCAAAAGGGCCTAAACTACGCATTGGAGGAATATATTCATCATTTTATTGTTGAGAAGGTCGATGAAAAGCTTAAATTACAAGCCAAAATTTATAGGTCACAGTGTAAGTTACGCTTGTGAACCGCATCTCGTTGCCATCGCCATCAAAGACAACAAGTTAAAGTGCCACTTAAGTTAAGGTTTTTGGCTCAGAGTATGAGAAAAGGATAACGGCCTTTTTACCATCTTTACCAAGAGTGTCTCTCCGTTAGTTTGGTGCTACAGTATATACACTGAATCATTCAGCATAATGTTTGCCAACCTTTGTTATCTCTGCGATTATTACAGAAAAATTAATGAAGCTAAGCTCCAGAAGTTAACATTAGCTTAACTAGAGCCCTTTGGACAACAGCTAACAATGATGTACGATCACCAAAGTACAAAACTAGAACAAAATAGGCTAATGAACTCCCAGCAAACAAGGTGACATGATGAACAACGCAGCTAGGAGCTAACGTTAGGCTAACTTTAGCTAACGTTAGCTAGAGATGTTAAAGATAACTTTATTTTTCTTTCCAGCAAAGTGACAATATGTTGCCTTAAACACAATGTTGACTTACCTTAGAACAGATGTAGACATCCTTGTTAATCTTATTCACGTTGAGTTGATGTTGTGGTCTAACGTTACCACACAACTTTATCCAAAGGAGACACTTTTCTCATTAAGACGTGGTTTAGGAAAGGGTAAAAAATACACCTCGTCACCCAGCCTCTCAGGATACCTTGTGTCGGAGTTGCATGTACCCCATGCACACCGTTTGACCATTTTTAAACTTCAAATCTCATAAAAGCTCTCAAAATATCCTCTCTCAAAAGCTCATAAAACTGAACAAAACTGATTTTCTGTAATGCATTTCAATGGACATCCAGGCAGAGAATGTCAGAGTGTATGGGAATGGCTATACGCACTGTGATTGGCTCATCGCATTTGAGGGCGGGACTTAGCCATAGGTCAATTGTGGACCATAAGGAGGTTTGAAGCTGAAAGAATTGATTAGGCTTCAGGTGCTATAAAAAGTAATCCAAGGACAGGAGAAGGGTCAGTCTACAAAACTGAAAGACAGTGTTCTCAGAAATTTAAACTAAATTTCTTGTATCATATATTGATTGTTGTTTCTTTTAATTAAGTGCAGTATCATATGAATCGCAATATGAAATGGTTCACCGAAAGGTGAAGCAGCCATCGTCTCTCAAAAAGTGATGAAGACAGCAGAACACACAAACTCATAAAAACTTACATTTTAGCTAGTTTTCCAGTACCACTTATGGATGGTCAACTTCAATAACTTCATGAGTCACAAACAATGGTAGCAAGAGTGTCCCATCTATGTTCGTCACTTTTTAGTGTCCCCCGGAAACAAATTCTATTGTCACCTTTGCTACATGAAGCATTTATTAAGATGCTTTTTAAGTTTCAGTGCTTTGAGCTCTCAGGACCACCATGTATTTTTTTCCCATTCAAAGTATATTATACATTTGTTTTAATAGTGTAAATAAGGTCTTTATCATTGTTATAAAGTGGCTACCATCTCTATTAAAGGGCCAATACACCCATATTACAAACGACATATTTTGAGAGTGCAGCTTCATTTTGACCTCAGAGACAAGGACAAGAATGAAGGGTTTACATGAACTGTTATCTGAGCGGACTTCATCTACTGAGGGTGATAGTGAGATGTGATGTAAAGATCTGATAAAAGCTAGGAAGTTGACCTTTTTTTTGTTTTGTTTTGTTTTTGGCAAAATATTTTGTTTGTTTTCTGGTTGTATGTAACCATGCAGATAGTTTTGGTTTAATTTGCTACTTTTATTTTGTGATGTTGGAAGTTTGAGGTCGATGAGCTCCATAAACTTTTATACAGCACCACTGTATTAAAACTGAAGTGTAGCATGTGATATTCATTCATTCATTCATCTTCTAACCTCTTCATCCTCTTGAGGGTCGCGGGGGGGCTGGAGCCTATCCCAGCTGACATCAGGCAAGAGGCAGAGTACACCCTGGACAGGTCGCCAGACTATCGCAGGGCTGACACATAGAGACAGACAAACACTCACGCTCACATTCACACCTATGGACAATTTAGAAGTCAATTAACCTAGTCCCCAATCTGCATGTCTTTGGACTGTGGGAGGAAGCCAGAGTGCCCGGAGAGAACCCACGCTGACACGGGGAGAACATGCAAACTCCGCACAGAAAGGCTCCCACACCCGGGATCGAACTGGGAACCCTCTTGCTGTGAGGCGACAGTGCTAACCACCCCACCACTGTGCCGCCCTAGCATGTGATATTCTCTTCTCTATTATTTTGTAAAAATAAATAAATCAATACAATTATAACAATAAAACAATTGTACATTCCTACTTTCTGTTATTTCATAGACTTTTGTTTTTGTTATATTGTTTTGTTTTGTTATATATTTTAAGCTCATTCGTTATAAAATTTATTGAATTATGTTTTTTAGGGGGAAAAAATTGGGGGGATACATTTACTCAAGCTCACCTAGTAGGCTACATGTACTTTCATGAGTGTTTACATTTCATGCAGCTTTATACTCCTACTTCTACTGGGCTAGATCTAAAAGGCAAACAGACTTGTCCGACAGCTGTAGTTACTTTTCAGTTTACAGTTTTTCCATACCGTCTGAGCCAAAACCACTTAACTCCGAATCTGATGAGTTTGAATTTGTTTCTGATAAAGTGGAGCATTAGACCTTTGGGCCCTAGGCCTTTTTGGGGTATTTTTACTGCTTTTGCTTTTTTTTTTTTAAGATTTTTTTTGGGCATTTTTTGTCTTTAATGGACAGGACAGTTAAGTGTGAAAGGGGAGAGAGAGAGGGGATGACATGCAGCAAAGGGCCACAGGCTGGACTCGAACCCAGGCCGCTGCGGCCACAGCCTTGTACATGGGGCGCCTGCTCTACCACTAAGCCACAGACACCCCGACTGCCTTTACTTTTAAGCTCATATCTCATTATAAAGGCTACATACACATGCTATATCTTGTTATTTTTTCAGGACAATGTGGGCTATCCAGATTTGCCATCATTCCATGTCCTTCTATGTGCCTGTATTTTATATTAATTTTTATATCAATGAAAAAAACAAATCTGTGTGCCTAAATTCTTACATATTTTACATGTATCTCACCATAGCAAGTTGGAAGTAGACATATTCTGCCATATATGAAGAGGGGAGACTCTCTGGAATCTGGCAATATAAGAACCATGATTCTGGGACATTCTGTCACTTCACAGCTGTCCAAAACATGTGGTTTGTGCCAGGCAGACATGATTGCCAGTATTTTTTCATTATTGCAAGAAATTCCATTGACTCATTCACAAGTCAAAAATGTGTTTTATCTGAAAGAAACATGCAATATTTACATCTAAGAGAATAGAAAAATAGTCAACCAAGTGCAGTGATGTCCTCCAAGATAATATTTGTTTTTCAGTTTCAGTTATATATTGGGGGGACATTGGTGGGGGGGCACGTGTCCCCCTCAATGTATATAGTGACTACTGCCCTGTCAGCATGCATAATTAGGTAGTCTGAGTGGGCGGAAGTTCGCTGCATAGATCAGCCTCTCATTGGGTGGAATGAGCCACCCGCTGAAGTCCCGCCCTACCACCTCCGGTTGCAGTTTTCAACACGTCCTTTACTAACTTTTGTGGTGTTTGATCTTGCGGGGATGTAGCCATTTTTCTGCCATGGTTCGCGTCCTGTAGGTGATATTTTTGTGGGCGTGTTACACCAAAACCTGTTTCCCCCGGCAATATTTTTGCAAGCACACCGTTACTGTGGCACCGCCCAGAACGATTGTGATTGGTTGAAAGAAATACAAGCAGCCTGGGCGGTTTTTTTTTCTCCAATCTTAAAGTGAGAGCCGGCCCAGCCAGACCTAAGGTCTGGTGAGCAAGACTAATAATTAGGCTGCAGTTGTCTGGGTGCGCAAAGGTGGAGTGCGCTGGTCTTGTCATACAAAGTTTGATGGAGTGTCAACTGGACAATATGGAGATATTTGCATATTGAAAGCCGGACTACAAATGTGGATAGACAGGGAGAAACACACGCAAGCCTAAGACGTGGTAAGATACGATATTCCTCACTATATGAAGTGACTGATAACAAGATCTGTATAATGGATTGTAAAGACATTCGTCAGGTTTTTATTTTGTAGACAATTGATCTGGATTTATAGCATGATGGGATGACAGCACAATGATGTGTGTGGTATCCCTGGAAAGCTCTGGTCCTGCTTCTTCTACTTCTTAAGCTAAATAAAGTCTTTATGGCTCTCATAGGACAGCCACACATACTTAACAGTATATTAAAGGGATAGTGCACCCAAAAATGAAAATTCAGCCATTACTCACCCTCATGCTGAGGAAGGCTCTGGTGAAGTTTTAGAGTCCTCACATCCCTTGCGGGGAGCGGTGGGGGGAGCGGCTAGCACACATAATGGCTGACGGCGCCCCAGACTAACATCCAAGAACACAAAATTGAAACCACAAAATATCTCCAACATGCTCATCCGTAGTGATCCAAGTGTCCTGAAGCCCCGACATAAAAAGTTGTTTCAAAAAACATCATATGAACTCTGTTTTTAGCCTCATTGTAGCCTGTAGCTCTAACTGCTTCTCTGTGCACTGCGCTCACGTGTGCGCGCTCAGGGTGATCAGTGATGCACGGTCTCTGAAGAGCAGCAGTCTCGTCAGTACTGATGTCCAGATTCTCAAGTGCAGGCATCGCCAATTCCCAGTCTGAGCAGCAAAGACTTTCCTCATCCATTGGCATTGCTTTGCATTTGAAACAACTACACCACCAGGTTTCCAGTGCTCGACTCTGCGGCTGGCTGAG